ATACAACAAGGAGGACGAGGACAATGACAGTTTGTTATTTATTAAATGATGATTATGATAATTATCAAGTTAATGATATATGATGGTGATGAAGAAGTTAAGAAGATCACAACGTTATTTATGCATACTAAAGGTTCTATCATCTAGTTCTCCGATTTCTTTGAAATCCTAATTTGTTCTAATTAAATGTGTTCCTTTAAACATTATTTGAAACTTTTGTGTAGAATTATTTTCAAGCTTTTCTAAAGTGATCAAATCATTTAAATTCCTTTAAGAATTAAAAATCCGTTACAATTTAAATTTAATATTACAAATTAACTTTAAACATCATCTTGAGAACTATTTGCTTTGATAGTAAAGAAAACTTGTTTTTTTTACACTTCTCATAATTTAAAAAACACTTTGTTATAATGAAGTGTAATAGTAACCTAATTAAATCCGTGTTATATATAACGACTTTTAATATTAATATTTTGGCTCCATATTAATATAATATTAATATATAAAATCATATAAATTACATTATAATGTGACTAGTACTTTCTAAAATCTGTTAAAATGAGGTTTGACTCCTGAAACTAATTACCGAATTACATATATACTAATACTGGAATCAGGACCGGAAAAACTCTGTTGTATGAGGACCTGATAACATTGTAGTACTTATCACAATGAAAATAGTTACTTGTGGATTTTCCAAAAAATGATCCTACGCTGAGTTAAAGGTTTCAAAGTCAGATGATTTATTGTCGGGTTAAGAGTTGGTGCACCATATGTTATCTTAAGCACTAATAATTGTCGTGGATGCAAAGATTAAAACTTGCTAAAGAATTAACATCTGCATTATATTGTTTATATCGTTCATGGTGACCTGGTATCTATCATTGTCTCTATTTTTTATGAAATAATTAATCTCTTTCTTTATCATCTAATAATATAAACATCCTTAATGGTGGTGGTATTAGATTACATAATTTTGGATCATTTAAACAACCAATTCACTCAAGTCAACAACATTATTTCAACTTGACACAATATTTGGATTCTCAAAAAAAGTTTTATAGAAGATCAAAAAAAAGTAGTCTTGGTATATTATTTTGGGAAATTTCAAGTGGAACAATTCCCTTTGAGAATAAATATATTGAAGTATCATGTTACATGATTGTTTATGAAAAACTCTATAAAAATAATAATTGTTGGTTGTTGTTTGTAAATTTTTCTTAAAAATTAGGCTGTTGGAGATTTGAACCTGAAACGTCCTGATATTGAACAAGTTTTAGGATATTTAATAATAATATTTTTTATTGTTTTTTTAATTTCATATAATTTTAAAAATAAAATAATAAATAATAAAATGGATGATATAATAAAATGAAATAATTTTTTTTACAATTATAAATAAATAAATGATAGTTTTTTAATAAATATAATGATCTTTGTGGTTTTTCGGTTTAGAAAACTGACTGAGACCTAATGTTCTTCTAATATAAAAAACACCTTCACGAGGAGTGTA